ATTAAACTCTCTTAAGACGAATGTGAAGCACGCTCGTTCCCGTTATGTTATTAGAGCTCTTTTACCCATTTTTGCGAAAAATGTTTAGAATTGCGTAGGGACCCACGTCCCCGAAATTGGGCAGTTGGACATAAATGCGAAAAACTTCTCCCAAACATGATTTCATTTGGTCAGGAGCTGTTGGGCTTTTATCGCTTACCCTATTTGTCTCAGCTACAAGTTCGCCGAGTCTTTGCTGTAGATCTGCACTTTCTTCTGCAGCGCGTACTCCTGGCGAGCTGCCAAGATCCAGTAGCGTTAAAACGAAAAGCGTTCCAGAGTTCATAGTCTGCAATCACATGAGTCAATATCCGAAGAAGGAAGAATCCACCGCCAGAAAATGTTCTAAGAAATTACCTTTGTGACATTTTCTATGCTAGCTTCGATATTTGCAATTACAGTAGTCGCATCTTTTTCTCCAGTAAAGTAGTCGACGACACCTCCTGTTTGGAAAATTATCAAAGGCTCTAAAATGACAGAAAAAATATAGATTTCTCAGGCAAAATCGAGTTTTTTCACGCACCACCATTGAAATACAGATGATTTTCCAAATATCGTTGCACTTGCCAACTGACACCGGACCATCCATCAAAGTAGAAGTTATCTATGCTACTCTTTGCCCCGCTATAGGCATAATTTATGTACTGTAAATAGAATTGCAGCATTATCTTGATATCCTAGATATAAATAAGTACCTCATCGCATTGGAGCATCTTTTCTACATATTCTGGCCAAATTTTGCCATTTGAGTTGCGAGTGAAGCCATGAGATTCGCCAACAGCTTCAACTCCATCATCTGAGAGGCTGTCGCCAAAAACAATCAGGGATTGGCAACGGAATTCGCGGGGCTGGAATTTTAGAAAAAATTATTTAGATTTATGGTTTTGCTGCAAGAGTCAGCACCAGTAAATTTTTTCCTTTTTTTCTTACTATAAGAATGTTTCATGGTCAATATTTCAAACTGCAACTTGTTGTCGGTAAAACAGGGACAGTTCACTTACCTTATGGAATATCCTAGAATTTGCACTACTTATTACCACAAAGCAAAGCAGTACTAATGAGAGCATGGTGACTGAAGCTATGAGATACCGCCGCGATCATGCTGGTCATCCTCTGGCCAGCGCAGGTGCCCAAACGAAACTGAACAAACAAATCAAAGCTGGCGGTGCGCGAAAGCCAGGAAATAGAAACCGTAAATAGCAGCAGCGCAAAACAATGGATTTGTGATTGTTCAATTGTTTGGAGGGTTCATCGGCGTTGTAGTTTTTTTTTTGCAGCATCGTACTATTTGTATGGCATTTTTGTAGCGAATAGCCGTTTGCAAGTATAGACGCAAACGCACGCAGAGGCTGGTCGCAGTTGCACATAGCTGACAAGCAAAAATGTCCGCAGCCGCTTCCTTCCTCTGCGAGAGATGACTAGCTTATACATTTCCAAGCGTGGCTTGTTTTTGAAGACAACGACTTCATCTAAAAGTCCCCCTCTGCGAGATACGAAACAGGTTCAAAAGATAAACAAGGCAAACAATTGGCTGGAGTTGTTAGACCATTGACAATGGCCCATAGTAAAGCTGCCTCAGTCAATCTCAACTGAATAAAATTT